TTGTGACCGTACCTCCCATAAGGCTTTATGGAAATATGCTTATATATATATATATATATATATATATATATATATATATAACATAACTAGCATGTGTTTTATGCTACATATGCCATGTAACATATCTCTGTAAATGTTATGATCTACTGAATGTATTAATCCTATTTGTATGCATGTATCATTTTGTATTGGAAGTTATGAATATTGGCTGTGTACTGGCTTGATTTCTAAATAACCTTAGCAGAGCATTTGGTCAGTTCCTAGAGAAAGGAATGTTGAAATTAAGTACCTAATCAAGAAACACTTAAAGGAAAATGAATCTGGGAATGCTCCAATCCACATAAGAAGTCTACTTGAGGACATTCAAGGTAGCATGTGACCCATGGCTGCTACCTGGTAAGAAACTGTGAGTCATGCATGGACATGTGACTTGCCCAGGTGACTCCAGAACTTCATCTTGGAGCTGGACTTTGCATAGGAGAGAGGAGGGGGTCTCCACCCACAAGAGAAAGCCTATTTAAGCCCGTGGGAGACCCCCTCCATTTTGTCTTCAGCTGGCTAAAGAGAGAGCCTCTCCGGCCCCAAAGATACCTGAAAGAAACTGGAACAAAAGACAGTAACTACAGGAAGCTGTGAGTGATTGCTGGACCTGGACTAGAAAGAGATTATTCTGTAAAAGGAAGCTTGCTGGAACTGGTGAGATCTTATCTGTATTCAGCTTCTTACTGTATTAAACATAGACTTGAGTGTTTTATTTTATTTTACTTGGTAATTCACTTTGTTCTGTCTGTTACTACCTGGAGCCACTTAAATCCTGCTTTCTGTATTTAATAAAATCACTTTTTACTTATTAATTAACTCAGAGTATGTATTAATACCTGAGGGGGCAAACAGCTGTGCATATCTCTCTATCAGCGTTATAGAGGGTGGACAATTTATGAGTTTACCCTGTATAAACTTTATACAGGGTAAAATGGATTTATTTGGGGTTTGGACCCCATTGGGAGTTGGGCATCTGCGTGTTAAAGACAGGAACACTTCTGTAAGCTGTTTTCAGTTAAGACTTCAGCTTTTGGGCACTTGGTTCAGACCCTGGGTCTGTGTTGGAGCAGATGGGCATGTCTGGCTCAGCAAGGCAGGGTGCTGGATTCCCAGGCTGGCAGAGGGAAAGCAGGGGCAGAAGTAGTCATAGCACATCAGTTGGCAGTTCCCAAAGGGATTTCTGTGATCCAATCCATCATAATTCTCTCTGTATGTATTTATTTATTTACACAAGTGGTCAGATCTTAGCTTAGATATTAAGAAAAGCTTTCCAACTCCCAGGATAGTTAAGCATTGGAACAGGTTACCTAGGCAGGTTGTGGGATAAGGTCCTAATTTGGCTTATATGCTATTTAAATAATTGTATGTCTTCAAAGTCTTGTTACTAACAGTGCCCGGTGTAAGTCTTTTCTTTTTCCAGTAACTGCATTTTAAAAAGCTAATGAATCTGAACATAGGGGACAATATTTCTGATGATGAAAAAATGTTTGTTTAAATTTATGAAGGATATCTGTCTAAGGTGATCATCTTTGACAATGTACATCTCCTTTGTCACTGCTTCAGGACTGGCTGCCCTGGGTTGGCTGCCATGTAGTCATCATTTGAGGCTTAGGGGCCTAAAAACCAGCTTCCCATGGCTTGTCCCCCTACAGTATGATGCCCATTCACTTCATTTTATTGCAGAATGAGACATAATGGCCATTGGACTCTGCACAGGACATCGCCCCCATTCGAATCAGTATGCTCTGGTGCCCCCTAGTTTCTGTTACACAGTGTAAATTTCTCACTTCTCAATCCTTGCCCTCTGTCTCCTCTAACAGTTATTTGAAATCATTGGTCTCCTTTTTCACACCCTAATTCTAAATCACCTGATGTCCTATACTCATATCACAGCACTTGAATGTTGTACACAGAAATGTTGTACGGTATTTCTGTTAGGAGTTTGTATTTTACTGGAGTAGTCATAGATGCAGTTATACCAATGTGGAATAAGTCATGCTAGTGTAAGCAACTTTATGCTGGTATAACAGCATCCTCTAGTACCTCGTCTACACATATGCCTGGCCTATAGTTAAAAGCTTTACTGACAGTAAAAGCCATAGTTTTACTGGCATACAGTGCATATGCTGGCAAAATTAATATTGTTTCCCATAATACAGTATAGCCGCCACTACCCACCACCACACACCACTGCCCCCTAGTGCCCATTATACAGTATAGCCACCCCTTCCACATCCCCACCCTCTGCTGCCCCTAATACTGTGCTATACAAGTGGTTAGCCAATGGTCCCTTTTGGCCTTTGCAGGTATGCCTTCTGGCCTTAGAAGGGGATGGCTTATGTGAAGTATTTTCCCTGTTGGATTATTATTAATTATTAATTATTAATTATTTATTATTTATTATTTATTATTGTTATTATTATTATTATGTTGCGTTTCAATAAGGAAATGGAGTGTGTGTGTGTGTGTGTATGTGTGTGTGTGAGATAGAAAGATGCTCACACACAGAAATATAGACACACATAGAGAGATTTCCTTTCATCCAAATCTTTCATTTGCAAACTACATATTAAATGTACTTTATATTAATTCTTCTGTGTGTTTGTTAAAATGTGAGGCTTCAACACCCACCTGGAAGGTCTGACTCATCTTAGCCATTGTTACGCATGCAATTCAGTCACTGAAGGCAATGGGACAACTGACATGAGCAAAGATTACTCAGCAGAGTCACTCTCTGCACGACCATGCACTCCACTCAGAGAGTAACTGTAACATCCATGGCTGTTACATTTCAGCCATGCAGAGCAATGATCTCATACAGCAGGGAGGAGGAAGGCGATGCCTCTGGGTGTGGGAGGTTGGTTGCATCAGGACAGTTGTTTGCACTGTCTGCACAGAAAACACAGCGCTAACTCCCCAGGCTCAGCCCTTCAGAGGTGGACTGAAGGGAGATGCAGCCTGCCAAGGAGAAGGATACAAATACAAGGAGACCTCTGCACTTTGTATGTGGAGAGGGAAGAACATGTTCCAAGACAGATTGAGGCAGCTGATCGTCCATTCAGGTGGATGCAGATCTCTTTACTGAGAAGATCCAGATTCTGAAGAATAATGAGAGACAAGGACATCAGCTTAGGAACCTGAGTCCTGGTCACCAAACCCTGAGAAATAAGAGCTCATCGCTTCACACTTGGTATGTCCAGGTAAGCTTCCTAACTGCATTTCTATAGCACCTTCAAAACAAGGGCATGGATGTGGTTTGTGAATATGAGAGGGACGAGGTGGGTGAGGTAATAACTTTCATTGGACCAACTTCTGTTGGTGAGAGAGACAAGCTTTTGAGCCACACAGAGCTCTTCTTTAGGTCTGGGATAGACAGTGCTTAATTTGTAATGAAAGAGGTGCCAGGGCTCAAGCAATTAGGTACAGGGTTCAAGTAATTTTTTTTTACATTCATAACTGATGTGGCAAGCCCAGAGTTTCTGGGTGTAATGGGATCCCTGCCCCGGGGTGCAACCTGGGACTGGGGTACCCCTGAACCCTCTGTCTCACCAACCTGGACTCTTCTCTCACACTGTGCTTCTGTGACAAGCTGGAGACCACTCCCGGTCCTGCACTCACACAAACCTTTACACAGGCAGGGATACACCCAGCTGCAGTTACATGAAGGCTTCTCCCCAGCTTCACAGCCTAGGGCCCAAGAGAGTACCATCTCTTCTGGTCAAAAGCCAGACCAGTATAAGGTTATTACCCAGTCCACCCCTCCCTCAAAGTGGAGAGGACAATGCACCAGGTGATAGGGTGTTTTTGTCTTTTATCATTTTCCTGTGTGAGTTCATTCAAAAGCATAGTGATTGTCTGGTTTCACCCACATGATTGTTATTGGGGCATTTAGCGTATTGGATGAGATACACCACATGTTGTGATAGGCATGTGGGGTGTTGATCATGGTAGCAGTGGAGATAAGTCAGCAGGTTTTGCCTTTGTTGTTCTGGCAGGTTTGAGGCGGTGTGTTCTGGTCTATAGTAAGCTCAGAGTTTCAGCATTCAGGGGCACCATCTTTTCTCCCCAGTGCCTTTCTGTTTCCTGGATTTTCATCCTCCAATCATTACGGCATGCAGAGGGTCCCACCACAGTTAGGGTTGCACATCAAGCCTGGTTTTGCCCCTTCCTAAAATCCACCCCCAGAAGAGCTGTATTTTGTTACTGCTACATAATTAACATCAGGAATTCTCATCTGAAACAGAAAAGGCATTGCCAATCACTCAGCATGTCATCTTCATCACTGTCATTAACTGAACTACGAAAGGATTGACTCCACTTCATAATTTATAACATAAACTGATCACTTGTGAGAGGTTGCAAATAATGATTCCCTTTCCTATAGCACACTAAGATGCTGAATATGCCAAGATGTATTATTAGATTAATTTCCATGAATTCTAACAGAAGATGAGCACCTAAGGATACTAGATTCAATTGAAAATCTCAGTCCAAGATTTTAGTTCATGTATTTATTGATTTGGATTCTAACTGAAACATGACAAGATTGTGGCCATGGCCAGAAGTGGAATTCTGCTTTTAAGCATCATTTAAGCAGTATGTCAATAGATGGGCTATGATAGTAGATAAAGAAGTGGGTGGATCTGTCCTATCAGTACGTGGGCTACTACAGAAAAGGCTGTTCTTAGAGTACTCAGTAATTTGATGTGACAGAGGGTGGTCTACCTGGATACTCACGTTGTGTTCTCAGACTGAGACTTCTGACACATTGTCTGAAGTCTACATTTAGCTTTAAAATTTCATCTGGTAACCAGGAAAGGGAGAGGAATTTTTGAATATTTATGGAATGAATTTGCAACACTTGATTAACTTTCAGCTCTATGCTCTTACAGTTTGATTGCACCATTTATTTTATTGCAGTTTATTTATTGCACCATTTATTATCCTAAACTCAACCAATGGCAGACATGGACTGGGGAAACCAAACGACCTTCACGGAATTCATCCTCCTGGGATTCGGGGATCTCCCTGACCTGCAAATTCTTCTCTTCCTGCTCTTCCTAGTGATCTACCTCACAACAGTGGCTGGGAACAGCCTTATCATTGCGCTAGTTGTGACTGATCAGCAACTGCACACCCCCATGTATTTCTTCCTGGGGAACTTGTCCTGCTTGGAAATCTGCTACACCTCTGCCATCCTGCCCAAGATGCTGGCCAGTCTCCTGACTGGGGACAAAACCATCTCAGTCAATGGCTGCATGACACAACTGTATTTCTTTGCAGTTCTGGCAGGTACAGAATGCTATCTGCTAGCAGTGATGTCTTATGATCGGTATTTAGCGATATGTAAACCCCTGCACTATTCAACTCTTATGAATACCAGGTTTTGCCTCCAGTTGGCTGCTGGCACATGGTTAAATGGTTTTTTGGCTATTACCATCTTTATTTTATTCATGTCACAGTTCATATTCTGTGGCCCGAAGGAAATTGACCATTTCTTTTGTGATCCCATATCACTGATAAAACTGTCCTGTGGAGACACAGGCCTGATCATATTGTTGGATTTCATATTAGCCTGTGTATTCACTTTGCCTCCATTTCTTCTAACCCTGATGTCCTACATGTGTATCCTCACTGCCATCCTGAGAATCTCTTCCACCACCGGGAGGCAAAAGGCATTTTCCACCTGTTCCTCCCACCTCACTGTAGTGACAATTTTCTATGGAACAATAATGATTGTGTACATGCTACCGACACTCGATACACTGAGAGCCCTAAAGAAAGTGCTCTCACTTTGCTACACAGTCCTGACTCCCCTGTTAAACCCCCTCATCTACAGCCTGAGAAACAGAGAGGTCAGGGAAGCCTTGCGTAAAGCAGTCAGTAAATGTGGCTTTCACAAAAAAATTGCAGGGAGTCCTAGATAATAAATGAAGCTGAGGATTTCAAAGCTGCCATGGTGATTTAGACAAAGAGCCCCCATTGAAATTAAGTTTAAAAACTCCCATTGAATATCTTAACACTGATGTGAAAAACAAATGGAGACAATCTGCACGGAGTTACTGAGGCAGACTGTTTATGGTCCCACATTGTGTCCATGTAACACAACAAATAGGAATATGAGGTTGTGGACAGTTCTATCAATTTATCATGTCCAGCACTGATACATATAGGATGATGGTATTTCTCTCTGGTTTGTCTAAATATTCACTCTGGGTCAGGAGTGTGTCTAGCATCTGAAAATGCCGAAAAATGCCATGTTGCGTAAGGCACAAACACCACTAAATATCAAAGCAAATCCCTGTGTATACCCTCTGTCACTCATTGTTTTTCTGTGTTAAACAATAAAATCTGATAATCCAATTCCAATAGCTTAGTACTTCCAAAGACCCGTGGGTGACAGTATCATAAAGTTTGCTAGTTCAGATAGTTTCTTATGCCCCCAAGGACAGAATGGAGAATCCAGCCAGAGCTCAAGTCAGTGTTGACCGTCTAAGTGGAAGGAGCAGGGAGGAAGGTGGCCATAACCATGTTCCCGTCATGCAGTTTTTAACTAGGCCCTGGTCAGAGTGGAGACAAAATTGTCACCAAGTGTTTATCTCCATAAAAATCTGTTTTTGAATTTAAAAAAATAAACATTTGGGGAATGAAAATATGAACTCCTGGTGCAACAGGTAGGGACATCAGCCTAGGAAATCCGTGACCCCTGAAACGGTGCCTCATGCCAACCTCACCATGCCCCCCCTGCAAACCAGCCACTGCAATTGCACTCCCACAGGGCAGATGCGAACAGCCGGGCCCCAGCGGTGACCTCTGGACACTTCACCAGGAACAGCGTCATAGCTCATACCTGCACTACACCTGGCTGTGACCAGCTCTGGCAAAGCACCAGCACCAGGCTCACTGGGCTCATGGGTACAGGCAGGTTGGGCAACCACAAAGAAACAGACTCAGAGCCCAGGTCAATGGGGACAGTCCTGACCCAGCTGGGGGTTTGCCAAGGCACTAGGGGATGCACACGCATAGAACTGAGGCTGTTCCTAGGGCCAGGGCAGTCAAGCAGTCACCAGGAAGGGACTCAGCACATGGCACTTCAGGGGAGAAGCTGCTCTGCTGCTTGAGCAGTTCAAAGGCAGGGAATGTCCCCAATACTGACTGCAACAAGCACAAGGCCTGAGAGGTTTAGCTCTCAGTGTACGGTGTCCAGCCAGACCCAGGTGCCTCAGACAGCTCTGCTTCACACAGGGCCCTCTCCTCTAGGAATGAGGCAACCTATGGTGAGAGGAAGTGGCTACCACCTAGCAATGGGCAGAACACCTGTGATGCTAAACACGGCAGTGCTGTGTCAGTCACTGTGAGCACATCAGGTCCTGGCTGGAGCCAGGGGAGCTGGCCATCAACTCTGCAGAAGGGATTTCCCCAGGGGCCTAATGGAATTAGGTCCCCAAATCCCAAATCAGCGCTGAACTCCCCTAGACATCTCTGAGAATCTCAGCTTGCATAGTCATTTTGGCTTCTGTCACTGTAGGTCCAGTCTATGCATTTCCATTGGAAACAGACCTCCATTAACAGCAATGCACTGGATTGATGGGAAACCCCTGTTGTAGTATCTGCTGTTGCAGTCATGCTGTTGTGTGGTGTTGTTCCCAGTGGTTCTAATTAGGCACAGTGCACACCTAGAAGTAGGTAAGAAATGAGGAAAGATGTGATTATGCTGTCTAGGGTCACAAGAGGGAAGAGGAATGGGACAGGTGTGGGGGTGCAGTGCAAAGACCGATGGATAGCAGCTGAAATGGAAGGACAAGAAAGGAGGAGTCATGCTGCCAAATGACCAAGAGAGCGAAGTGAAAAGTGAGGAGAATCTGTATAATAGCGTGTAACTGGTGAGGAAAGGGCATTGAAGAGAAAAGGGCCTCTATACTATAAAAAGCTGGGGATAGTAGCAGAGGTTAAGGAATGAGAAATGGGAAGTTATACCCAATAATTACCACCAGGTGGCAAAAGAGAGTCAAGAATTGGAAGGCGGCAGCTAGACTGAGAAGATGACTCCATTTGAGGAGAGTAAAGGGTACAAATATATTAATATAAAATAATATATGGAGATATACCTATCTTATTAAACTGGAAGGGACCTTGAAAGGTCATTGAGTCCAGTCCCCTGCCTTCACTAGCAGGACTAAGTACTGTCCCTGACAGATTTTTGCCCCCAATCAGCCCCCTCAAGGATTGAACTCATAACCCTGGGTTTAAGCAGGCCAATGCTCAAACCACTAAGCTATCCCTCCTCCCATAGTAGCAGGCTGTCATGATGAGAAATCAACACTAGATGGCACCAACGTGTGGCGTAAACGAGAGGAAGTCAGCTATACTGAACAGTGACCGACAGATTTCTGTAGGCAATTAAGTAATGGAAAAGGGCACCGATGCTGTAAAATGCCCACTAGGTGGCAGCAATCTATAAGAATGAGATAAGGGCAGGTATTTTCTGATCTGCTCATTAGATGGCAGGATGTATGGACGATTAATTGAGGGGCAATGCAAGTACATTGCAAAACCTTGGACAGGTGTCTATCAAAAATGTAAGCTGGTATTTAATAATAGTTTAAAATATTTTCCCCATAAGCTCATCAGACTTAAAGGAAAAAAATGCAAGGAACTATACAAGTCATATTGGGCATTGTTAGCTCCAAGGCTTTGGAGACAAAATTAACCAAGTGGGAGAAAGGCTAAAGTGGGACAGTGACATTGCAGGCTATATGATTTTATAAAAATATGCTCATGAGTGAATATAATGTAACTGGAATATGATTCATGCAAATGGTCTCTTGTAAGGTATCATTACAAAGTTTATAATCTGCTGAGTGTGTTCTTCCTATTTCTATAAATGTATCTCTCTTGTATCTATTGTAAGTATGCAACGTGTGGGCCATTAATGGTGGTTTGGAATCTTGATTACTCCCATTAATCAAGACAATTGACTGTGGATGGCTTTGTTTGCAGGCAAGCCTTCCTGTGAGTCAGGCTGGGAGGAATGAAGGCTTGGGGTCTTACAGTGACATGTGATCATGTCACCTGAACTGAATCCATCTTTAACCTAGTGCTTTTCCATTGAGAAGGGGGGGTGGGAACCCAGAGGGCAAAGGATTCCCGCCTTATGCAAAAGATATATACGTGGGTGGAACAGAACAAAGGGGGAGCCATTATGAGGAATCCCCTAGCTACCACCTGAGCTGGAACAAGGCCTGTACCAGGGGAAAGGATTGTGCCCAGACTAGGAAGGCGTCCAGTCTGAGAAAAGAAGCTTATTGAAACATCTCTAAGGGTGAGATCTTATTTGTATTCAGTTGTATTACTGTATTAGGTTTAGATTTGTGTGTTTTATTTTATTTTGCTTGGTGATTCACTTTGTTCTGTCTGTTGGGATCTCTTAAATCCTACTTTCTGTATTTTATAAAATCACTTTTTACTTATTAATGAACTCAGAGTATGCGTTAATACCTGGGGAGGGGGGGGAAACAGCTGTGCATATCTCTCTATCAGTGTTATAGAGGGCGAACAATTTATGAGTTTACCCCATATACGCTTTATACAGGGTAAAACGGATTTATTTGGGTTTAAACCCCATTGTGAGTTGGGCATCTGCGTATTAAAGACAAGTGCACTTCTGTAATCTGTTTTCAGTTAAGTCTGCAGCTTTTGGGCACTTGATTCAGATCCTGGGTCTGTGTTGGAGCAGGCTCAAAAAAACAGGGTGCTGGCAGAGGGAAAACATAGAATCATAGAATATCAGGGTTGGAAGGGACCTCAGGAGGTCATCTAGTCCAACCTCCTGTTCAAAGCAGGACCAATCTCCAACTATCCCAATCCCCAAAGCAGGGGCAGAAGTAGTCTTGGCACATCGGTTCGCAATTCCCAAGGGGGGTTCTGTGATCCAACCCGTCACAGGGACCTTATTAAAAAGTTTGAAGACATCAGAGGATACAAAGATATGAAAGCATTTACACTTTGCAAATGGAGGGGGAAGACCATATTTCAAAATAAGAACATGGAAGTTGCTCATTCCTTCAGGTAGATGCAGATGAGAAGATGCAGTTTCTGTAGAACGATGAAAGACAAGAACCTCTCTGGACTCTGAACCCTATCTCCCAATGCTTGAGAAATAGGAATTCATCAACTCAAGCTTGAGCTGTCCTGTGGATAGAGGCGAGGCCCAATCCAAAACTGCCATTGGCCATTATCTTTGAAAACTCAAGGCGATTGGGTGAGGTGACAGATGACTGGAAAAAGGCTAATGTAGTGCCCATATTTAAGAAAAGGGAAGAAGGAGGATCCGGGGAACTGCAGGCCAGTCAGCCTCACCTCCGTCCCTGGAAAAATCATGGAGCAGGTCCTCAAGGAATCAATTCTGAAGCACTTAGAGGAGAGGAAATTGATCAGGAACAGTGAGCATGGATTCACCAAGAGCAAGTCATGCCTAACTAACCTAATTGCCTTCTATGACGAGATAACTGGCTCTGTGGATGAGGGGAAAGCAGTGGACATGTTATTCCTTGACTTTAGCAAACCTTTTGATACGGTCTCCCATAATATTCTTGCCAGCAAGTTAAAGAAGTATGGATGGAAGGACTATAAGGTGGATAGAAAGCTGGCTAGATCATCGGGCTCAATGGGTAATGATCAATGGCTCCATGTCTAGTTGGCAGCCGGTATCAAGCGGACTGCCCCAAGCATTGGTCCTGGGGCTCGTTTTGTTCATTAATGATCTGGAGGATGGTGTGGATTGCACCCTCAGCAAATTTTCAGGTGACACTAAACTGTGAGGAGTGGTAGATACGCTGGAGGGTAGGGATAGGATACAGAGGGACCAAGACATATTAGAGGATTGGGCCAAAAGAAATCTGATCAGGTTCAACAAGCACAAGTGCAGAGTCCTGCACTTAGGACAGAATAATCCCATGCACTGTTACAGACTAGGGAGTGAGTGTCTAGGCAGCAGTTCTGCAGAAAAGGACCTAGGGGTTACAGTGGACGAGAAGCTGGATATGAGTCAACAGTGTGCCCTTGTTGCCAAGAAGGCTAATAGCATTTTGGGCTGTATAAGTAGGTGCATTGCCAGCAGATCCAGGGATGTGATCATTCCCTTCTGTTTGGCACTGCTGAGGCCTCATCTGGAGTACTGTATCCAGTTTTGGGCCCCACTCTACAAGAAAGATGTGGAAAAATTGGAAAGTGTCCAGCAGAGGGCAACAAAAATGATTAGGGGGATGGAGCACATGACTTATGAGGAGAGGCTGAGGAAACTGGGATTATTTAGTCTGCAGAAAAGAAGATTGAGGGGGGATTTGATAGCTGCTTTCAACTACCTGAAAAGGGGTTCCAAACAGGAAGGATCTAGACTGTTCTCAGTGGTACCAGATGACAGAACAAGGAGTAATGGTCTCAAGTTGGAGTGGGGGAGATTTAGGTTGGATATTAGGAAAAACTTTTTCACTAGGAAGGTGGTGAAGCACTGGAATGGGTTACCTAGGGAGATGGTGGAATCTCCTTCCTTAGAGGTTTTTAAGGTCAGGTTTGACAAAGCCCTGGCTGGGATGATTTAGTTGGGGTTTGGTCCTGCATTGAGCAGGAAGTTGGACTAGATGAATTCCTGACGTCCCTTCCAACCTGAAATTCTATGATTCTATTATTTATATGGAGGCAATATGATATTTTCTTTCTTATTATCTGTCCCTTTTCTAATGATTTCTAACATTCTGTTAACTTTTTTGACTGCCGCTGCACAGTGAGTGGATGTTTTCAGAGAACTATTCACAATGACTTCAAGATTTCTGTCTTGAGTAGTAACAGCTAATTTAGATCCCAGGCAGTGCAGATGTTTAAGAGGTCCTGAACTTTGCCTCAATGCAAAGATGTTTTTCAGCATACACAAGACATGAACTTCACGAAGGAAGCAAAAACACCTATTCATCAAAGGATGTCTGGGTTGCTGCATCATCCGTTTGAACTCTGCTTTAGTGTAGGTAGATGACCTCATCAACACTCTGCAGGGTACTCAACCCCAGGTGGGTTGAGTTCTTGACCTTGGTCTTCTCCCATGAGGTGTTCATTCCCGGAGTGTGGCCAGCATCTGGGGGGATGATGCTGAAATGTTTTGACTTCCCCACAAACAAGGCAGCATTGTCAGTATAGTTTTGGTCAGTAAACACTTCTTCACCACCCTTGATTCAGATACGTGGAGTGGTAAGTCCTACTAGCCAGTCGATGGCTCGGCAGAATAGTGCCAGGGCGAGAATGCATCCCTGCTGCATACCTGATGCTGAGTAGAAATGCAGTGAAACCCAGGAACCAATGTGCACTCTTGCACCTGGTACTGGTGTGAGGATCATGCACCAGATTTAGCAGAGCATCTGGAACACCAAGTCTTTTCAGGAATCTTGCCCATATTATGTATGTATGTATTATAGTACCTAGAAGCCCCAGTCATGGATCAGGGCTCCGTTGTGGCAAGCACTGTCCAAACACAGAGCAAACAGACAACCTCTGCCCCAAAGACACCATAATCTAACTCTCTGATCCTGTTGCTGAACCCCACTAAACTCAGTGTCTTCAGTAATATGTTGCAAAAGTAAGTTCCACCAGCTAATTCTGCATTATTTGAGATAATATGAGGTTTGTGATCTAAGATGTTTGTTTAACCTCCACAACTACTTTAGTAGCTGACATCTTCACAGTCTTTTATACAGTTATCCTCACAACACCCCTGTGGGGCAAGGCAGTGGAATTATCCACATTGCACAGATGGGGAAGTAAGGCCCAGAGAGACACAAGATTTGTCTTCATTGCTCAGTTAACCTGGGTTCAGGTGTGGGAACCCAGGTCAATTTACCCCAGAGTTGAGTGTCCACATTGCTAAGACACTCTTAAGTCAGGTGATGTAGCCAGGTCCACACTGTAATAACCTGGGTGAGGCACTCGGATTTATGGGGCACAGGCCATGGTTCTGAACTAAGCTGTGCTGCTCTGTGAATTGTTTTGCAGTGTACAATGGGAGAACTTGTCTGTCTATCTTGGGCCCTTGTGCAGATGTGATTTTACCTAGAGCTGGCTGAAAGCCAGTATTTCTGATATGCGGGAAATTTAGTGGTTGTTTTTTTTTTTTGAGGGGGGGGGGATTTTGTTCTGAATTGTTTTCTAAATTTCCCTTTAACTGAAAATTCCAGGAAAAGTTTCATTTCAGAAACACCGACTTATGGTGTCTCTGAGAGGAGACATGCTCCCTGCAAGTGGCAGCTGCTGACTGAAATTAACATTCTTGTCAGTTTTGCACTGCCTAAAACTCACAGAAATGTCAGTTTTAGCCAGCACTGACCGGGAATTAGGTTCTGGGATCACTGTGGCTGGCACTTTGTGGAGCCCCTGGGCAGCCCTCCGTGGTGGAGCTTTCCTGGAGCTGTGAACCCTGGAAGCTCTGAGATCCACCAGCCAGGAAAGCTGGGAAGTTTCCCTCTTTTTCTTCAGAAAATTTCCACCAGCTCTATTCTTATCTCAACAAATCAGTGAACAAGTGCTCCTTGGGTTGGGCATGCACCTCAGTTCTGTCTGCAGTCCGTATTCCAACATGGCAAGGCCTGGATATAGTTCAGGATGCCAGAAAGAGGGTTTCCAAGATGTTTGTGGGGTTTAACCCCATACCGGTGCATATAGACTGGTAGGTGACTTTTGATGCAGAAGAAGGGTGTAGGAAGAAAGGCAGGAAAATACAACCATGGAGGGAAACATGGAGGACTCTCAGAAGCCTGTCTCCTCACTGCAAAGTGGACATGTCCTAGCCCAAATTAAAGCAGAGCCTGGGCTCTAAGCCACGCCCCTAGCTGGGATAGCTAGCCTGGATTCAAAGCATCTCCAGACCTGGGTCACAGGGTTTTGTGTGTGGACAGTAGAGGCTTTTGGGCTAAAATCTGGGTTAACTCTGAAATGAAGAGATACCTCAAGGATCAAATTTTCACAAGCACCTTGGAGATTTAGGAGATTAAATCCCACTTTCAAAAGTGACTCTGAGCCAGATTTTTAAAGGTATTTAGGCACTTCACATTGGTCCCAATGGATTCTCCAGATGCAAAGATAAAACCTCTGTGGCCTACCATCTCATACTGATGCAGGCAACCTTATGGGCTGCTCTGATGCTGCACCTCCCTCTCCATTTGCCTCTGTGATTGTGGGAGTGGAAGGGCCTTTTGAGGTCTCTTCAACACCCAGAGGGGAGGAAAATATTTTGAAAAGTTGCTATCGAAAAATTGTCACCACTTCTTGAATTTACTCTGACTGAGGGGATGGTTCATGGACTGATTGACTCAATGTGGCCTTTCTTGCAAGGGAAGAACATGGGGGAACATAATGAAATGCAAAGGCAGCACATTTCTGGTAAAGGAAAGCAGGAAGGTGCTGACCTGGGAGCTGGGAGAGCTGGAGTCAATTTCTTACTCTGCCACTGGCTTCCCATGTGACCTTGGGCAAAACACATAGGGTAGAAACTTGAAAAGTGACGTAGGCACCTAAGTTCCATTTTAAAACCTGACTTAGGTACATGGATGTTGAACATCAATGAGGCTGTGATTTCTAAGTGTCTGAGGGCCAGATTTTTAAAGGTATTTAGATGCCTCGTAGGATTTTCAAGAGCACCTGGACAACTAACAGCCAGTGATCCTTTTGAAATTCACCCCTCTCTCCCCATGGTGTTTTTGTTTGTTTGTTTGTTTGTTTTTACTAGGGCTGTTGCCTAATCGCAGTTCACTCAAAAAAATTTATTGTGATTAATCGCAGTTTTAGTCTCACTGTTAAACAATAACAACAAGGAGTCTGGTGGCACCTTAAAGACTAACAGATTTATTTGGGCATAAGCTTTCATGGGTAAAAACCTCACTTCTTCGGATGCATAGAGTGAAAGTTACAGATGCAGGCATTATATATTGACACATGGAGAGCAGGGAGTTACTTCGCAAGTGGAGAACCAGTGTTGATAGGGCCAATTCAATCAGGGTGGATGTAGTCCACTCCCAATAATAGATGAGGAGGTGTCAATGCCAGGAGAGGAAAAGCTGCTTCTGTAATGAGCCAGCCACTCCCAGTCCCTATTCAAGCCCAGATTAATGGTGTTAAATTTGCAAATGAATTTTAGTTCTGCTGTTTCTCTTTGAAGTCTGTTTATGAAGTTTTTTTGTTCAATGATAGTGACTTTTAAATCTGTAATAGAATGACCAGGGAGATTGAAGTGTTCACTTACTGGCTTATGTATGTTACCATTCCTGATGTCCGATTTGTGTCCATTTATTCTTTTGCGGAGGGACCGCCTCGTGAAGGCCATCGACCCGCACCTGGGAGAGGTCACCATCAACCGCACCATCCCCGGCACCGACAGCCCGCTGCGCCCAGACAGCGTCGTCACGGACGAGGTTGGAAAAAAGATCATTCTGGTCGACGTAATGATTCCATTCGAGAACAGGACCCTGGCCTTCCATGAAGCCCGAGCCTGCAAGTTCGAAAAGTACAGCCCCCTGGCTGACACCCTGCGGACAAAGGGCTACGAGGTGCACACCGACTCCCTGCTCGTTGGAGCCCTGGGTGCCTGGGACCCATGTAACGAACGCGTGCTAAGGACTTGTGGGGTAGGCCGTCATTACGCACGGCTCATGAGATGCCTAATGGTCTCAGACACTATTCGTTGGTCACGGGACATCTACACAGAGCACATCACTGGCCACCGCCAGTACCGGGAGTGAGCCAGGGAGACCTCGTGCACACGCAAAGGGAAGAGACCTATAACCCCCCCCCCCGCTGGACTTTATCCCCTGAACCCTGAACCCACCAAACCTAACTGAATCCCACCACGTGAGGGTCACCCCATCCCCATTACCCAGCCCGATTACTTATACGGGGGGCTGTATGTGATGGCCAGTGGTGTTCTGTTATTGTCCTTGTTGGGCCTGTCCTGTAGTAGGTGATTTCTGGGTACCCGTCTTGCTCTGTCAATCTGTTTCCTCACTTCCCCACCTACCTCCCACAGGGGGCTACAACAGTGGTACCCTCAACTCATCTAACAACATTGTCAATCTTTCCAGCCACACACTTAGCCCAGCAGAAGAGTCTGTCCTATCTTGGGGACTCTCTTTCTGTCCCACCATCCCCATGAACATGATACAGTTCTGCGGTGATCTGGAAGCCTACTTTCATCGTCTCCGACTCAAGGAATATTTTCAACGCACCACTGAACAGTGCACTGACCCACAGGAACCCTCCTACCAACACTACAAGAAGAAGAACTCTGTGTGGACTCCTCCTGATGGTCGAAATGACAGACTGGACCTCTACATAGAGTGCTTCCGCAGACGTGCACAGGCTGAAATTATGGACAAACAACATCACTTGTCCCATAACCTCAGCCATACAGAACACAATGCCATCCACAGCCTCAGAAACAACTCTGACATTATCATCAAAGGGGCTGACAAAGGAGGTGCTGTAGTCATAACGAACAGGTCGGATTATGAACAGAAGGCTGCCAGGCAACTCTCCAAGACCACATTCTATAGGCCACTATCCTCTGATCCCACTGAGGAATACCAAAAGAAACTACACCATCTGCTCAAGAAATTCCCAGCTACAGTATGGGAACAAATCTACATGGACACCCCCCCAGAACCCTGACCAGGGGTATTCTATCTGTTACCCAAGATCCATAAACCTGGAAACCCTGGACGCCCCATCATCTCAGGCATTGGCACTCTTACAGCAGGATTATCTGGCTATTTGGACTCTCTCCTCAGACCCTACGCTACCAGCACTCCCAGCTATCTTTGAGACACCACCGACTTCCTGAGGAAACTACAATGCATTGGTGCTCTTCCTGAAAACACCATCCTGGCAACCATGGATGTAGATGCACTTTACACCAATATTCCACATGAGGATGGACTACTAGTTGTCAGGAACAGTATCCCTGATGAGGCCACAGCACGCCTGGTGGCTGAGCTTTGTGACTTTGTCCTCAACCACAACCACTTCAGATTTGGGGACAACTTATACCTTCAAGTCAGTGGCACTGTTATGGGTACCCACATGGCCCCACAGTATGCCAACATTTTTATGGCTGACTTAGAACAACGCTTCCCCAGCTCTCGTCCCCTAGTGCCCCTCCTCTACTTGTGCTACATTGATGACATCTTCATCATATGGACCCACGGAAAGGAGGCCCTTGAAGAATTCTACCTGGACTTCAACAATTTCCACCCCACCATCAACCTCAGCCTGGACCAGTCCACACAAGAGATCCACTTCCTGGACACTACAGTGCAAATAAGTGATGGTCACATAAACACCACACTATACCGGAAACCTACTGACCGCTATACGTACCCACATGCCTCCAGCTTCCATCCAAGACACATCACATGATCCATTGTCTACGGCCAAGCCCTAAGATACAACCGAATTTGCTCCAACCCCTCAGACAGAGACAAACACCTACAAGATCTTTATCAAGCATTCGTAAAACTACAATACCCACCTGGGGAAGTGAGGAAACAGATTGACAGAGCAAGACGGGTACCCAGAAATCACCTACTACGGGACAGGCCCAACAAGGACAATAACAGAACACCACTGGCCACCACATACCGCCCCCAGCGAAAACCTCTCCAGCGCATTATCCACGATCTACAACCTATCCTGGAAAATGATCCTTCACTCTGACAGACCTTGGGAGGCAGGCCAGTCCTCGCTTTCAGACAACCCCCCAACCTGAAGCAAATACTCACCAGCAACTACACACCACACCACAGAAACACCAACCCAGGAGCCAATCCCTGTAGCAAACCTCGTTGCCTACTCTGTCCCCATATCTACTCTGGCGACACCATCAGAGGACCCAACCACATCAGCCACACCATCAAGGGCTCATTCACCTGCACATCCACTAATGTTATATATGCCATTATATGCCAGCAATGCCCCTCTGCCATGTACATTGGCCAAACCGGACAGTCCCTCCGCAAAAGAATAAATGGACACAAATCGGACATCAGGAATGGTAACATACATAAGCCAGTAAGTGAACACTTCAATCTCCCTGGTCATTCTATTACAGATTTAAAAGTCACTATCATTGAACAAAAAAACTTCATAAACAGACTTCAAAGAGAAACAGCAGAACTAAAATTCATTTGCAAATTTAACACCATTAATCTGGGCTTGAATAGGGACTGGGAGTGGCTGGCTCATTACAGAAGCAGCTTTTCCTCTCCTGGCATTGACACCTCCTCATCTATTATTGGGAGTGGACTACATCCACCCTGATTGAATTGGCCCTGTCAACACTGGTTCTCCACTTGCGAAGTAACTCCCTGCTCTCCATGTGTCAATATATAATGCCTGCATCTGTAACTTTCACTCTATGCATCCGAAGAAGTGAGGTTTTTACCCACGAAAGGTTATGACCAAATAAATCTGTTAGTCTTTAAGGTGCCACCAGACTCCTTGTTATTTTTGTAGATACAGACTAACACGGCTACCCCCTGATACTTGTTAAACAATAGAATAACAATTGACATTTATTAAATATTTTGGATGTTTTTCTACATTTTGAAATATATTTATTTCAATTACAACCCAGAATACAAAGTATAGAGTGCTCACTTTATATTTTTTTTTTTTACAAATATTTGCAATGTAAAAATGATAAACAAAAGAAATAATATTTTTCAATTCACCTCAGACAAGTACCATAATGCAATCTCTTTATCGTGAAAGTGCAACTTACAAATGTAGATTTTATTTTGTTACATAACTGCACTCAAAAACAAAACAATGTAAAACTTTACAGCCTAAAAGTCCACTCAATCCTACTTCTTATTCAGCCAATCGCTAAGACAAACAAGTTTGTTTACATGCTGCTGGCTTCTTTGTCACAATGTCACCAGAAAGTGAGAATAGGCATTTGCATAGCACTTTTGTAGCCAGCATCCAAGGTATTTACGTGCCAGATATGCTAAATATTCGAATGTCCCTTCATGCTTCGGCTACCATTCCAGAGGCCATGCTTCCATGCTGATGATGCTTGTTAAAAAAATAATGTGTTAATTAATATTATAGCAATCTCAGATGATTACCCAACACATGTTGTCCATTTTAAGAACAGTTTCACAGCAGATTTGACAAAAAGCAAACAGGGTAACAACGTAAGATTTCTAAAGATAGTTACAGCACTCAATCCAAGGTTTAAGAATCTGAAGTGCCTTCCAAAATCTGAGAGAGACAATGTGTGGAGCATGCTTTCAGAATTCTGCTGCAGAAACTATGGAACCCAAACCATCAAAAAAAATCAATTTTCCGGTGGTGGCATCTGACTCAGATGATGAAAGTGAACATGCATTGGTCTGCACTGCTTTGGATACTTATCGAGCAGAACCCGTCATCAGCATGGACGATGTCCTCTGGAACGGTGGTTGAAGATGAAGGGACATATGAACCTTTAGTGCATTTAGCACATAAATATCTTGCAACACTGGCTACAACAGTGCCATGCGAACACCTGTTCTCACTTTCAGGTGACATTGTAAACAAGAAGTGGGCAGCATTATCTCCTGAAAATGAAAACAAACTTGTTTGTCTGAGAGACTGGCTGAACAAGAAGTAGGACTGAGTGGACTTGTAGGGTCTAAAGTTTTACATTGTTTTATTTTTGAATGTAGTTATTTTTGTACATAATTCTAAATTTGTAAGTTTAACTTTTATGATAAAGTGATTGCACTACAGTACTTTTATGAGGTGAACTGAAAAATACTATTTCTTTTTTTTTACAGCACAAATTTTGTAATCAAAATTAAATATAAAGTGAGCACTGTACACTTTGTGTTCTATGTTGTAATTGAAATCAATATATTTGAAAGGTAGAAAACATCCAAAAATATTTAAATAATCGGTATTCTGTTATTGTTTAACAGTGTGATTAATTGCATGATTAATCATGATTATTTTTTTAATCACATGATTAATCATGATTATTTTTTTTAATTGCTTGACAGCCTTCATTTTTACCTGTTTTCACTGACATCTTTGAAGGGTTGGTTAAAAATAATAATTTTTAAAACACAAAAATGCTTTAAAAATGAAAAGTCATTACTGAAAAATGAAAACTTTGATCAAAAAATTAAACCGTTAACTAAAATATTAAAATTAGTACTGAAAAATCATGTTGTCCCAAAATACTTGGGCTTCCACAAATTTATTTTAGTATAAAATATTTAGGTTTTGAAACTGCATTCACTTAGATGTTTCCATTTCAAGTAAAACAAATATTTTTTTCAAAAACTGATCATATTTAATATCCCAAGCATTTTTTTTTATTATTTTCAGTTTCTGAGTGTGTTTTTGTTTGTTTGTTTGTTTGTTTGTTTTTCATAAATAACAGAAAATTTGGATTAAAATTGAAATCTTCTGCAAAAATATTAATTTTGGACAACAGATCATTTTTGACCTAAAATTCCAAGCAGCTCTACTATTTGGGAGGTTTTGAAAATCTCAGAGTAAATGTTTGAGGTATAGAAGGTCCATCACTTTCTTTTCCTCTGCCCTCATTCCATCATCTGGACCTCCAAGCCTTGACACCCAACAAGGAACATAAGGAAACCAGATGGAGCAGGGCAACATTGGGTCAGAAAGAAAGGGGAGTAGGGCTGGGAAAACAGAACACTGTTTCCACAAAGATGCTGCTTTCTTTCTGAGA